TAATTTACGTTTGTTTTAATCTTTTTTTTTTTTGTTGATGATTTAAAAGATGGTAATCTTAATATACAGGCACAAATTCAAGATCAAAGAGATAGTGTATTACACAGATATATTTTCGCAATTTTATCTTATTATACTATAGTTTTCTTTGTTTCAATAATATACCCATATGATGTCACTTCATATGCAATCAATTTATAAGTTAGTTTTCTAATTTCCATTTTTTGTAATCTTTGATTTAATGTTTTTGTTTTTTTGATGATTTAAACAATGGTTATCTTAATATACATGCATGAATCAAGATCAACGAGACAATGAATTACACAGGTACATTTTTGCAATTTTATCTTATTATACTGCAATCAATAATTTATTTTAGATTTTTTTCTTTTGGCCAATTTTATTTCATTATAAGATACTGTATTTTTTTTATTTATGCGATTTTATCTTGTTATACTATAATTTTGTTTGTTTTTATTTAATCCTAGACTTTTAATAGCTAAAAGGCGTCATATCTTATTTGAACTCATATTGATGGGAGAGCTAAATTAGAAAACTGCAACATAGGAGATGATTAGCTTAAGTTTTGATTACGAATTCAATTTAGTGGTTTAAATTTTAAAAATCGAACGTATGGAGTAACTGAATATTATTATATCGAGAAAAATAAAGAACCAAACTCAAAAGCTCTGATTTGAAAGTATCATTCTCTTTAACTTTGATTTTAACTATTTTTAAATTTAGGTGTAATTAATTTGGTTTTGTTACACGAATTTTTCCTTTTTTGTTTATTTTTTACTACTTTAAAATTTTATTTACAAAAACCATGATTATTTGATTAAAGAGGTTCTCATACAATATCAAATCATGACAAAACCGTCGAATTTCAACAATTGTTCAATGGTTATTTTATATTTTATATTTTTATGTATTCTAATTATATTTTCCAATGTAAACCTTTTCAATTATTGCTTGCTAATTTACAAAACTTAAAACTGCCCCATGTTGCGCGCAGCGAAAATTTCGGCAGCACTTCGGCAGCACAACAAGAGAGTCAGATCGCAATAGGAATTCCTGTTTCACAAAGAAAACAAGAACCTTAAGCAAAATATCTCAACCAAGTGAGATATCAGCTCTTCCTTTCATCAGTTCTAGGACTGACCTGTCGAGGGAACCTAAGTAAGCTATTACAAATCACACAAATAGCGAGACAACCAATTTTACGTGGTTCGGCAAATTGCCTACGTCCATTGGGAGAGGATGGGGAGATTCCACTAAATCAAGGAGAGCATAAAGGGTTACGATCTCACAAAACTCACAAACTAACCCTCAACCAAAGCTCTCAACTTGCTCACAAAATCTCCCTCTCACAATGCTCAAAATTCTCTCTAATATCTGATTATAACTCTCCTCTCTTATTATGATTGATTCTAATCTCCATATATATAAAAAAACTAAAACCAAAACAGACTAGAAATCCTAAAACGAAAACAGACTAGGAATCCTAAAACCAAAAACAAAACAAATTAGGAATCCTAATAACCTCATATTACTAAAATAGATTAGGAATCCTAATAACCTCATGTTACCAAAATAGATTAGGAATACTGCTATCCAACAATTCTCCACCTCGGCGAAGTATTCCCAAAACTGAGCCGACACCAACATGAGGACCAATGCGTCGTCTCACCAAATTCGGCTGCACCAATGTGGTTGTCTACGTACCCCCTCTTGTTTTCGTCGAAAATTGTTTTCTTCATTGTATAACTCATTACAACTTTGATCGTTACAATAAGTTCAAAAAGATCGGTCTTTTTATAAGACCTTTACACAATGAAAATAAAAGATATAATTCTCATGAAAATAAACGCAAGATCCGTTTATCGTCTCTTGCTTGCGTGGGTGTCTTCGCCTGTGTCGGGGTTTATCCGTGGACCACCTTTGATCAGATCCGGTTGCTGAAAATTCGGCAGAGCTCCTACCTCACCAAGGAGGTATTTGCTTAAAGCGCTGAAATTGACCAAGCGAAATCAGTAGCTCTTCTCGAGATTAAGACCAAGCCTAATCTCGAATTGCTCCTTCTTTATGCCGGGATTCGCCGGGATCTCACTAGCCCTTGCTGAAATTCGTGCTCCCTTGCTCTCCAACTCGGCAGCACCTCCTCGTCTTGATAATTAATCCGTCCCGCTGAAAGGAGGCCCTAGGCTTGTATTTATAGGGCTCCGGATGCGGGTTTTGGGATAAGAATGATGGATTCCTCCTTATCTTCAGTTAATAACTGATTAACCATGTTTAAAGATAGGATTTAGGCATTTAGGAACCTCTGGAAATGAAAAGATCTCGTGAAAACCCATCGAAACCGCCAAAAACGCGTTTTCGGGTCAAAACTGCGGGAAACACACCGCTGACCCGCGAAAACCCATCGAAACCGCCAAAAACGCGTTTTCGGGTCAAAACTGCGGGAAACACTCAAACCCCTTCGTGCTGACCCGTGCGTGTTTCCGTCGAAAGTCACCTTAGTCATTGATTTCATTAAACTTTAAGCGTTACAAATGAATTCAAATAACAAAAGAACAAAAGATTACAACTTTCTTGAAAATAAACACAAGATCCGTTTATCAGATCTTGCTTGCGTGGGTTCTTTGCCGGTGCCGGGGTTAATCCGTGGACGACCGCGAATCAGATCCGGTTGATGGGAAATTGGGCAGAGCTTCTACCTCACCAAGGGGGTATTTGCTTGAAGTCCTGAAATCGACAAAGCGAAATCAGGGCTCTTCTCGAGATTAAGACAAAGCCTAATCTCAAGGAACGGACGTACGGGCTTCAGATCCTTCGAACGGCTTCTCCTTTGTGCTGAAGTTCGCCGGGATCTCACTGTCCTTTGCTGAAATTTCGTGCTCCTTCACTCTCCAATCCAGCAGCACCTCGTCCTCTTGATAAAATTCCAGATCCAGAAAATGGAGGCCTTTGGCTCATATTTATAGGCCTCGAATGCGGTTATTTGGATGAGAACAAGTGATTTGGCTCTATCTTCAGTCCTGGAACCGATAAACCCTGCAAAAAACCAATTAAAAACCGTCAAAACGTGTTTGGGACATTAGACTGCGCGGCAGAACAATCTGACCCGCGCTCGCGCGGGTCGGAATAATCCGACCCGCGCTCGCGCGGGTCGGAAACATCCGACCCGCGCATGCGCGGGTCGGAATCATCCGACCCGCGCTTGCGCGGGTCGGATTGATCCGACCCGCGCTTGCGCGGGTCGGATTGATCCGACCCGCGCTTGCGCGGGTCGGATTGATCCGACCCGCGCTTGCGCGGGTCGGATTGATCCGTCCCGCGCTTGCGCGGGTCGGATCATTCCGTCCTGCGCTTAGCGCGGGTTCGCCGACTTTCTCCCTTTTTTTGGTTTCTTTCTTCCGGGACTTGTTCTTGTTGCGTATTCGTTCGATTTGTTGACTTGTATGCTTCGTCGCGAGACCGATCGTCGAACGCGCGTTGGTTAATATACGCGTGCTGATCGATGCGCGCGGGCTGATTGACGTGCGTGCGTTGACTGGCGCGCACGAGGTGATTTGACGTGCACTCGTTGACTGGCGCGCACGAGTTGGTTGACGTGCGCGCGTTGACCGGCGCACACGAGTTGGTTGACGTGCACGCGTTTGACCGGCGCGTACGAGTTGATTCGACGTACGCGCGTTGACCGACGCGCACGGGCTGATCGACGTGCGCGCGTTGACTGGCGCGCACGAGTTGATTGACGTGCACGCGTTTGACCGACGCGCACGAGTTGGTTTGACGAATCTTCTTGACTCGCCCATTCATTGCTTCGAGTTTCGTGTGGGCTCTCGTAGACAATTTTAGACGCCTACAGATACCCCCTCCAAAGTGTTTCAGCCTCATTCTTTTATAGAGGAGTCTGAAACGCTTTGGATATGATGGATCCCCACCTTCAGTCGGTGTACAGATGGTTTCGATTCTTGACTTCTCCATATTTTAGCGTATTCTGTATTTTGTCGAATAGCTAAAGTTGACTTTTGGATCAATTGCAACGCGTAGACAGGAGTTGACCTAGGGCTACGCGTTGACCGGCGTTGACCTTAGGGTTTCGAATCGATCGGCGTTGACTTTCATCGCAGCGCGTTGACCGGCGTTGACCTAGGGCTACGCGTTGACCGGCGTTGACCTTAGGGGTTCGAGTTGACTTTCATTGCAGCGCTAGTGACCGGCGTTGACCTAGGGCTACGCGTTGACCGGCGTTGACCTTAGGGTTTCGTGTTAACCTGAGGAGAACCAGTTTATACTCGTGTACTCCTGGGAGTTTCGGGAATCAGTTTAACCTCGTGTACCCACCGGAGGTTGCCAGGTTATCCTTAAGAATTATTATCTGTAATATTCTCTAGGAACTTCCTGTCAAAATGGGAAACAGTTTAGACTCATGTACCCGTTGGAGTTTAGATATCGAGATTCGATAAAAGGCGAAAATATCGCGAAATCACCCAAAATATAAAATTGGGTCCCGAATATTCCGAAATAGGTGAAAAATCACGAAATCACCCAAAATGTAAAATTGGGTCCCGAATATTCTGAAAATAAACAAAAATATCTCGCAATTATTTGGGAGGCGAAATTGAACTCTGAACGTTCTAAATCTGACTGGAAATGCCGCTCAATTATCCGGGAAATGAGGTCGAACTCTGAACATTCCAAATATGATCAAAAATGCCGTGAAATTGTCCGGGAGATGAGGTTAACCTTCGAAAATTTCGAAAACGGACGAAAACGGGCGAAAATACTGCAAAACGGACACTGAATTGGGTCTGACCCGCGTGATCGCGGGTCGGATTAATCTGACCCGCGAGCACGCGGGTCGGACATGAATCCGACCCGCGGAACGCGGGTCGGATGGGAGGAAAAAGTCGACCCGCGAGCACGCGGGTCGGACATGAATCCGACCCGCGGAACGCGGGTCGGATGGGAGGAAAAAGTCCCGACGATTTTTTTTCCTTCTTCTTCCTTACTTCGGTTCCAGTTTCTTCTTCCTCTCTATTTCGGTTTTCTTCTTGAGTTCTAACCTCTCAAGAGCTCCTCTTCCTCCAGAATTCCAACCGAATCAAAGCTCCTTCTCCTTTAAAACCATCAGCTCCTTCCTCTCTTCTTCCCATTTGGATTCGAGCAAAGGAGGAGATTCGGATCTAGGGTTTCGGCCATTTGAGTTCTTCTTCCCCCTTTCAAGCTTCAAGAATTCGAACAAGGCTAAAACTCCCCAAGCTCTTTAAATCTTTCATTCTCTCCTTCTTCAAAACCCCTCAACTCCCTCAAATCTACGAGCAAGGCCGGCTAGGGTTTTGGATTTGCTGAACTCTCCTTCGAGCACTTGCTGTGGTTCTCCCCTTTGAATTCAGGTAATACTCCTTCTAAAGGTTTCAATTTGTTGGGTGAAACTGATCTTTGACTTTTGATTCTTAGGGAAATCCGAAAACCCTAGCTTTTCGAATTTGGGCTTTTGGTGGATTTTGTTTCAACGGGTCTCTCTTCCTCCTTGATTCTTCTTCAAATTCAGGTAACTTCCATTGCCCTTGTTTCGATTTTGGTTGAACTCTTAGTTTGGGTGCTTGATTTATGGCTGAATATTTTGAACTTTGTCCTGGAAGTTTAAGCCTTATTTCTTGAGTTTGGGCAAAATCCGAATTTTGGTTGAAGCCGAATTTTTGACTGTATATTGATGACCTGAGTGTCATTCTTGAGCTTGGTTTGACATCAGGTGAAGTCCTCTTCTTGACTTTGGTCTGCTGAAACCTTTCGGCCTTAGGGCTTGGTTGAGTTGCTAAAGGTGTTGACAGGGGCTTTCGGTGATTAGTTGTGCTAGTTGTTGAAACGGTCCCCAGAGTTCTAGGTGATAGTATTCCACTTGTCCTGGGCAATGATCCTGCTGATTATGAGCTCCGTGTAGCAGGTAGGGGTGTTCTTGGTGAAGCCTTCTTTGCACTAACTTGCTTTGGAACTTCCTTCTTTGGCAATACTGGAGGAGATGAATTTCTCCGGGGTCTTTGAGAATTATTAGGTGAATCCCGTTTTCAAATAGCAGTTACCGATTTTGAGGACGCTGCTGCTTTGCTATGCTTCAGATTTGAAGAGTGTCATGCAAAAAAAAACGTGTTGTTATGGGTTGTTGTTGATGCACTTGCACATGGCCGAAAAACTTGACTGTTCATGGCCGAAACTTTGTTGAGATTTTGGTTAACGACTTGATGACTTAAATCCATAGTTCTCGAATTTGTACATAACCCGAATCTTGATCGAATTTCTGTATGGTTTGAACTTGTATGTGACTCGAATTCGAATTTGCATGTAGCCGAGCTCTTGCGTATGATTGAATTCGAATTTGTAGGATTGAACTCGAATTTGTGTGTGGTCGTATGATTTGCTTCCGAACTTGGCTTGTAGTCGAATGACCCGAACTCATACCTGTATGTGGCTAAGAATTGACTTGAACTCGAACTTGATTATTGGCCGAGAATTTCTTGTATGCTTCGAATTCACTCCTATATATGGCCGGATCTTTGCACGATTGAATTCTTGCATATGCCTTGAACTCAAACTTTTGAATTCAAACTTGTATGTAGTCGAGAACTTTATATGCCTTGAATTTGTACATGTGGTTGAACTCTTGCATATGGTTGAACTTGTGAATCCATATGTTGACATGATCGAGGCTTTATATTTGACTCGGTGACACTTAACTTGAACCGAGAATGTCATATAGGTTTAATTGGACCCTTAATTGGAAAATTCTATTTTGTAGAATTTCAATTAAAGATTCACAATTTTCTTTTTGGTCTTTGATTCATGTATCTTGATTCTT